ATAATCAGTCACAAGAACGTCGAATCTGAATCACTTGAAAAAAACACGGGGGTGCTTAACTTTTTTCCAGGTGTATATATAATTAGGTCTGTTACTGTTTTACCATTGTCAGTATATAATACAGACATTTTGGGTCTTGGTATTTTAACCTTATCAACATGTTAAAATACAAGGTCTGTTACTGTTTTATCATTGTCAGTATATCATAGAGACATTTTAGGTCTTGGTATTTTACCCTTATCAACATGTGAAAATACAAGGTCTGTTACTGTTTTACACTTTTCAACGTCCTTTGTCTTTCAGCAGAAATACACTGAGCAATGAGTTAAGATTAGACTTGCAGCATTAGAGTTTTTCAGGAATATGCTGGAAAATACTTAATGTGTGAAAAATGATTAGCAAACAAGTATGTTGGGTTGTGCTCAACAATTCAAAAGTGGGTAGATCTTTTCCAGCATTCAATCTAAGGATTTATGCTTCAATATTTTTTTAACAACTGAGTAAAGGCTATTTAGAAAAGAGGTATAACTGCAGAATAGATTAACCCTTTAGGTGTGCCCATTGCTATATGGTGACCACATAATGCAGTTTGAATTCCCACAAGAAATGGGAATCAAGCACAAAAAATCAATGGACAGAACCTAACCTGAACTGATGAATATCTCAGCTGCTGATTTGTATCCAACATGGTGTATTTTACTCTTCAAAATATCAGTAATATTTACATTTGAAAATAGTTTAATTTTTATGAGAAAATAGACCTAAAATGGCATTAAGTCACTTGTGCAAGCTGATGATAATTCTAACTCTGAACCTGAATTATCTGATTATGATTTTGAGAGTGATATGACTGAAACAAAAATTATGCTTCTAAGGGGTTATTGCACATTCCCAAGGGTGGAACTTATCTTTTTTTGTTCTTACATAACTAAAACAAGATTCTTGAGTAATAGTAATAGGATTAATTTCTTAATAATATTAACATTTTTCTCATGGGAGAACCTGATCACAAACATATAGAGTATTAGAAAGTAAAATATTTTCTAGTTATCTGTATATTTTCATAGTAACTTAACAAACTATATATGATTTTTTAGGTTCCTTTTCCAAGTGTTAGGTATAGTTGTGGAAGTTGTCCATCAACAAATCTTTATTCCTGCTGTCCCAGCAGACCATCAAACCTTCATCTGTCAGCAGATGGCCCACTTATTTCTCTATCTCATGCATATGTTTCAATCTGGGTCTTTTCGTCGTGTTGCAACAGCTGCTATGGAACTTGTCAAAGCAGAATCTTCAACTAAGTCTGTGTCCTATGCAGCAGTTAGCATGTACTCTGTTACAGAAATCAATGAGATGTTTATTGAATTAGCACCGTTTTATCCAGTATTGGTCTTACAGTGGTGTAACATCCTTACCTTGTTGAACTACGATAGTCATGACTTTTGGGCACAGATTCTCCAACATGGTACTCTTCACGCTAGTCCTGCTACACTTCCTGCAAGTCCAAGGTGAGGGTTCAAAGGCAATAAAGATAATAGTTAGTCAATCTAAGAAAAATATTTTTGTTAAGTGTTATCTGGTAGCATATTTATCTTGCATCAGGTGACACATTTAATGTAGTATGTTGCATATGGATCGTCACCTAGTACAATTATTTTATTTTCATTTTACACTGTTCTGTGGTAAAGATAATATATTTGTTGATATGTCTTACTAGCTAATGTTAAGGCTAGTTTAGAATGCAGTATGCAGATACCAGGTATAGTTGATCAGTTCATGATAAGAATTTTCTTATATTTCTTTTTCACTCTACATTACAATTTAATAGCATATATAATTAGTCAGTTCAAAGTGGTAATATTTTGTACATTTACAAGCAAAATCACTTAACATTATGTTGAGCTAGGTAAGCTTATTTTCTGTTTTCATTAATGCAGACCGAAAAAGTTTTGTATGATATTTATTGTAATATATGTCTGACCAATGTAGTGAAAACTGTTTAAAAACAAATTCTCCAAAATGTGAATTTTTCATAAATGTTTTTTTTGCTATTCCTTTATTGATATTGTCTTGAGATGTTTACTGATTGTTTTCATAGTGGGTATATTTTTTTACCTGGTATTTGCAGACAGCTACCAACCAAATGTGAAGTCACCCAAACATCCTGTAACCTGGAAATGGTGCAGCAAGGAGGTCTTATACTTCTCTGCGATTATGTGGTATATGTTAACTGTTGTTTATAGAAATACTGAAAATTTGTTTTTAATTATAAGTGGGTTTTTAATTGAGACAGTGAGTCTCTTAAAATTCTTACAAGACTTATGGAAGGTAACTTTCCTTCTTCAAGAAGTATCACCAAAAATGAAATGCAAGATGATTAGTCCCAAAGCAACAATACATGTTCCATAATGAGTAAGCTCTACATTACACCAAAAATTTTATAACAAAGAAATAAAAAGGTTATTAAATTGATGAGATAAAATTTTGAACAAATCACAAAAAAAATGTATGTAGTGAAAATATAGTTCAAAATTACTTGACATGAAAAAATTATATTTATTCAGTAATTGAACTTGTTTTGTGTAGAGAGAAATACACAAACACAAGTACATAAGTAAAACACTTGTTATAAGTTTTATTATTTAAAAATATTAAGTTTTATCTTAAGTACCAAAAAAAAACAAATCATTTGTTGATGACATAGAAATTCAAATTTTGTTTTATTCTCAAAGGGCCCTTATTTTTATTGATTTATTGGGTATTAATAACACCAGAATTTTGTAGTGTTTGAGAAGGTGGTCTTGGGCATTGAAATGGCACACTAATTAGTTTTTTGATGGGCAGAAATAAGATTTTAAAACTAGACATATACTAAGAGATCTGAATGAATCTAAGTTTCAAATGGACAGCAACTGCCTGTTGTAGAAACCTACAAATGTAGAAGACGACGTTTCGAAAGTCTTCCGCCTCTCATCTGAAGACGAAACGCAGAATACTTTCGAAACGTTGTTCTCTTCATTTGTAGGTTTCTACAACAGACAATTGCTGTCCATTTGAAAATTAGATTCATTATGAATACTCTGCCTAAACAACCTAACAAAGAGATCTGTTTGAACTAAAATTCCTATAGAAATGTTCTGTTTAAGGATGTCTTGCTAGAAGATGAATCTATGGCCAACAATTCTTTTTTTTTTTGTTAAGGAATGACATGATGAATAAGAATGTGTTTGTACCTATCAACAGTCAAGGCACCATCATTTCTTTTTAGAACTATACCTGTGGTTTGCAAATTGTTAGGCACTCTCCCCTTGGGAAGGATGGAGAGTTAGAAGGGGGCACACAAATAAGACAATAGGAGCATACAAATCAATTCTTAAATGAAGTTTTATAAGCTACTGTACAAATATTACTACTATCAAGTAATGTAGTAACAACAAAACATGGGCAAATGGCATACAGTATATATATGTGTGTGTGTGTGTATATATATTGGTGTACTTTGGTGACAGATTTTCTTGTAGGCCATTCATCAATAATGGATATAGTAATACCACATTCGACAAGACACTTCAAACGATACCTGGACAGCCGCCAAAAAAACACCACTACCAACAACTCCACTGAACAACTCAAAGTCTACTATAAAAACCAATTCTCTGCTGCATACAAGACAGACGAACGGATTCTAAAGGATATCGAAAAAACCAATTCTCCACTGCATACAAGACAGACGAACGGATTCTAAAGGATATCGTTTACAAAAATACTACACCAAAGAAACAGAACACAAAACTGCAACTCAACATCTACTCAAAGTCTAACACAACGTCGGACCTTATCATGAAAAACAGCCCTGCTAAAAAGACAACAGATCTACAGCAAGTGAACGTCATTTACGAGTATCAGTGTAATAAAGGAGACTGCGAGCTCCCGGCAATCGCCTCCTACATCGGAATGACTA